CTTGTACTTACCATGGTAGTGGATCATGTTGACTTGTACTTATCATGTTAAATTGTACTTATCATGGTAGTGGATCATGTTGACTTGTACTTATCATGGTAGTGGAGCATGTTGACTTGTACTTATCATGGTAGTGGAGCATGTTGACTTGTACTTATCATGGTAGTGGATCATGTTGAATTGTATTTATCATGGTAGTGGAGCATGTTGACTTGTACTTATCATGGTAGTGGATCATGTTGAATTGTACTTATCATGGTAGTGGATCATGTTGACTTGTACTTATCATGGTAGTGGAGCATATTGACTTGTACTTATCATGGTAGTGGATCATGTTGCCTTGTACTTATCATGGCACTTGATATCTTTACTCCAGGTACTTCCATCGTGTGACTTTGACCTCTGAGCAGTTCATCAAGAAGGTACGTTGTGTATATGTAAATAAACATAAGAATCTTGACTAGTGTATGAGAACGAGCGCTAATCCTGACTCCTAAGATATCAACAATTACACGCTATTATTTCCCCATAAACCCTGATACTGTTGACTTGTATCATTCATTTTGACTAGTTTTGAAATCTTGAAGGTTACTGGGTGAGATTTTGAAAGTTTTTTGGTGATAGTTTGAAAGTTACTTGGTGAAATTTTTATGGTTTCTTGGCGCAATTTTGAAAGTTTATTTGAAAAAAATTTAAAGTTTATTGGTGACAATTTTAAAGTTTGTTGTTGTTGGTTTTAAAGTTTCTTGGTGAAATTTTAAAGGTTCTTTTGGTAAGTTTTGGGGGTTTTCTCTATGGGTTCTTGCCAGGTAACTTTCTCTCTTTCTATTTCATTCTTCTTGATCATGTCTCGTCCAGGTAAATTTTTTTTCCCTCCACATGTCCTTTATTTCTTATTCTAAAAACGTGAGCGCCTCGTGAACTTTTTCTCACTTCCTTTTACCAGATACAATTACCTATTACTGATACGAGGAACCCGACGTCTGAACTTTGAAGGTCTGTGACGCTTGTGGCTGTACTGCTTATTAGCAGTATTCATATTTCCCGCCTCTGCTGACGGCCGTGTAAATATTTCAATGTGATTCTAATCTTTTAAAAGTTAGTTTTTGCATAATGTAGATTACTGATATGTAGTTTGTCTTTGTATGCCCTATTGTTGGTAAAAATAAGTATATATTAAATGCATCCTCCGAAAGCGTGAATTTTCTACCAGAGTTTAACAGTTAATTCATGTATAATACTTCTGATAAACTTCCTACGTACTTACCGTATGTTTGAAATAATGTACTGTATGTATGTATCTTTATATAATTTAGATAACTATCTTTCTCGTCAGAAACGGTCATCCCAACGATTATGACTAAACTCATTTAGAAATACAACATTACTACAGGACGAAATCGGACAGGTTTGAAACCGCCAATCAGCTGTAATTCTTGAGAAGGGGGCGGGGCATCTTTTCTCAGCTGAGAATAAACCGCACTATAACACTAACCTAACGTAACACTATCCTAACCTAATACTAACGTAAGCTAACACAAATTTAGCCTACCACAACACTAACTTAACCTAACACTACACTAACTTAAGAACATAAGAAGAACATAAGAAAATGAGGAGTCTGCAATAGGCCGGTTGGCCTGTGCATGGCAGCTCCTGTCGAGAGTTACTACCACTCTCTATCATCCATGAATCTATCTAGCCTCCTTTAGAAACTTTCCAGAGTTCCCGCACTTACTACAAAGTTGCTAAGCTTGTTCCACTCGTCCACCACCTTATTTGTGAACCAGTTTCTTCCTATCTCCCTCCTAAACCTAAACTTATCCAACTTGAATCCGTTGCTACGAGTCCTATCCTGCTCGGATATTATAAGAACTTTTATCTATATCCCCTTTATTGATTCCTTTCACCCACTTAAATACTTCTATCATATCTCCCCGTACTCTTCGTCTTTCTCGGGAATGCAAGTTAAGTTTCTTTAGCCTATCCTGATATGGAAGGTTTCTAAGTCCCGGAATCATTTTTGTCATTCTTCGCTGCACCGACTCTAGTGAATTTATATCCATTCTATAATAGGGGCACCAGAACTGAACCGCATAATCGAGGTGCGGCCTGACAAGCGCAAGATATAGTTGCAACAAGACCTCTGCACTCTTGTTACTTACACTTCTAGATATAAAACCCAATACTCTGTTTGCCTTATTTCGAACATTAACGCACTGTTTTCTAGGCCGTAGGTCCGGGCTTACAAGTACCCCAAGGTCTCTTTCACAAGTCGACTTCTCTAGGTTGATGTTGTTAAGGCTGTATACATTATAAGTATTTGTTCTTCCAATATTAAGTACGCTGCACTTGCTGGTGTTGAATTTCATTTGCCATTTTTCAGACCACCCCTGCAGTTTATTTAGATCCTCCTGTAATGCATTTGCATCCTGCCCTGAATTAATATGCCGCCCTATTTTGGTGTCATCCGCAAACTTGCTTATGTCACTGCTGATCCCAGTATCTAAATCGTTTATGTAGATTATGAACAAGAGTGGGCCTAGTACTGACCCCTGGGGAACCCCACTGGTTACACGGCCCCACTCAGATTTAACACCATCTACGCTGACCCTCTGCGTTCTATCGGTGAGCCATGATTTTATCCAATTTAAAACTTCCCCTCGATACCATGAGCCTTAATTTTTCTCAGAAGCCTCTGATGCGGTACTCTGTCAAATGCTTTGCTAAAGTCTAAGTAAATAACATCGTAATTTTCGTCATTATCTACTACCTCGAAGACTTTCCTATAAAACGTTAGCAGATTTGTTAGACAAGATTTTCCCTTTGTAAACCCATGTTGAGAGTCGTAGATTAATTTGCTTTTCTCTAGATGCGATCGGATGCTATCTGCTATAATTGATTCAACAACACCAACTTAGCCTATCCTAACACGAACCTAACCTAACCTAACCTAACACAACGCTAAAACTAACCTGACATATCATAACAGTAACCTAACCTAACCCAACGTAATTAAAAAACTGGAGAGGCGTTATACAACTTTCTTGTCATATGTGATAATGAATGATACAAAAAAATATTATTATAAACGCGTTAAATTATTAATACTGAAAGAAATCGGTGTTATGATATTGAGAGTTAAAAGTGTTAGAAGTGATGAAGGTTTGAAAATGTTGAGATGATATGAAATTTAAAACTTATGAAAAGTAATTAGAAAAAAAATATAGAAAAAAAGATTACGCTTGGAGATATGAAGAGGGACATGATCACCTGAAATTAGTAAGTTCTGTTATCAGGTAAAGTTAAGAGAAATAACGGGCATCATTATTGCAATCTCTCTTGTTATCTTCCTCCTCCTAAATTACTGCAGCCGATCTTAACCTGAACACCTAAAAATTACCTAAAATCATTACTCGTGAACTATGCCATCATTATATATACTGTATATCAAGGACTCGTTACCACTATTAGAATGAGTCACCGAGATAATTCCCTTCTTTTCACCTCCTGCACGACAGGTCCAGAATGAGCAAACCCCAGAAACGAAAGGATACACCTGAAGATTGGACACTCCGACTTATGGTTATATCACCTATTGATTAGACACCCCAGTTTATTTCACCTGATGATAGACACCCCAGTTTATTTCACTTATTGATTAGGCACCAGTTTATTTCACCTAATGATTACACACCGACAAAATTTGTACTACAGAAAACGCCTTAAGGGTCTCCACAAACACCGAAATCCCTAAACCACCTCATTACCTCATCAAACAACTCTTATTTTTTCTTTTTTTCCAGACACTGGCGGCGTCCGACTGTAACTTGGCTGCCTCTCAATCCCTCGCTGGAGCTGATGAGGGTCAGCACCTGTCAGCAGGGCGTCAGCGTGTGTTGATTGGTGTTTGTTTTACAGACTGCAGACACATACTTACACCATAACACACACGCACCGTCGAAAGTTTGCCAGGATTGTTAAGAGTGTCAGACGCTACAATACTTAAGTTAATTAAAAGTGGAAATAATACGAGTGTTTATTAGTGTGAATTATTTTTCTGTTATGCTCCGGACTTACGAACTTTGATAATCACAGACATATGCTGAGTAAATACGGTAAAATAGTGGGAAAAATCATACGTATTCCAGAACCAAGTCTGTTTAACCTTAGTGTACTGTATATAGACAGTGGTGAAAAGGTGAGAACTTACTTTACAGGAGCCAGCCTTTGAACTTTGTAAATGACGAATATAAGACAAATAAGTAGTGTAGGGTGTGTGTGTGATACTAGAGAGTGAACTGATACCTACCTCTCGCCTGCATGTCTTACATCAAGCACCTGACATCGACTGGGAACGAAGCTCACTGACGTCGTTACCCGGGTGATATATGGTGAAGACTTCAGCGGAATTTTCGTCATTCCCAGTGACGTGTGAGGGCAATGACGTCATAAGTCGCCACGGTAAGGTGAGTGTGGGTGTTACTTTGGTAATGGATGGTGGAGAGGCCAGCAAAATTCAATCGTTCTTACTATAACTTGGCTTAACTCGATCTGACGAAACTCCGATATGAAAACTTGACGTAACCATGTGCTGCTGCTGCACACTGTCGAGAAATAGTTATAGAGAATTAACCTGTTTACGTGTATCTATACAATGGTGCTTAAAAATACCTTCAAAGAAGTTTCCATTGCATCTCCTAAAAATTAGTCCCCTCAACATTTTTCACCTGATGAAAAAATAACCTAACCTACCGAACCTAACCTACCCTAACCTAACCTAACCTAACTTAACCTAACTTAACCTAAGCCCCACAGACATCGTTAGGGTGTTAAATCATCAGTTGAAATAAGCTGGGAGGCTAATTTTCAGGTGATCCAAAACCTGTAATATATATTCACCAAAATTGCTTAATTTCATGAATATCAAGACATTTGTTCTGTGTTTATACCGAGATGTGTTCTCTTGTCATGGAGGCAATATTGGTTCAGGGCATAACATGGGTTCAGGCGGCAACATTGGTTCAGGGCATAACATGGGTTCAGGCGGCAACATTGGTCCAGGGCATAACATGGGTTCAGGCGGCAACATTGGTTCAGGGCATAACATGGGTTCAGGCGGCAACATTGGTCCAGGGCATAACATGGGTTCAGGCGGCAACATTGGTCCAGGGCATAACATGGGTTCAGGCGGCAACATTGGTCCAGGGCATAACATGGGTTCAGGCGGCAACATTGGTTCGGGGCATAACATGGGTTCAGGCGACAACATTGGTCCAGGGCATAACGTGGGTTCAGGCGGCAACATTGGTCCAGGGCATAACGTGGGTTCAGGAGGCAACATGGGCTTGCAGCTGTTGCCTCCGTCAGCCATCATTAAAGGACATTAGTCCAGTAATCACATACTTCATAATTGAAGTATTATTTCCCAGACACAAATATCCTAATCCTTCGGTTTATTTTGTCCTTGTTTTCATGTATACCGTGTGGGGGGGGGCGGGGGGGGTAGGTTAAGATGCCGTGTTGTTGGTGACCTATGGTGTAATAGTCAGCGTGCTCGTTTAGCAAGCGAGTGGACTTGGATTCGATCCTCGGGCAGGGTGATATGGGCAAGTTTCTTTACGCCATTTGCCTCTGTCTACCCAGCAGTAATTGTGAACCTGGGTGTTAATCTATTTGCGGATCGTATTTCGGGGTCATGGTTTGCCAGTGCAGTTGGCGAGTTGTCCGGTCTTCTCGGACTATTCCTTGACACTGGGTCGTGTAACTCGTTAACTCGGGGTGTGGTTGTTTTGTTGACAACAGCCTCTACACCTTAAAGAAATTAACTAGCAGCAATACCTCTCACGTGTTGTCACTCTACCCCCCCCCCCAAAAAAAATGGTCCAGATGTATTTAGTTAATTACCCAGCTTTTTTGTGTGTCGTTTAAAGAGTAATATTTAGAGGAGCAGTTGCTATAGTCGTTAAGTTTCATCGCATAATTGATTTTAAACTTTGTATTTTCCGAATATTTTTAAACAGGCAAAGAAAAACCGAACTTATCATACCGAACTTAACCTTAACCTAAGTTATCATACCTCACCAAACCTAACTTATCATGGTTAACTTAACCTAACTTAACCTAACATAATACCTAACTTAACCCAGCTAATAATACCTAACCAAACCTATCGTACCTAACTTAACCCAACTTATCATACCTCACGTAACATAACTTAAACTATCTCATCATACCTAACTTAACCTCTCATACATAACCTAACTTAAGCGAATCTTTAAAAATCGTTAAAAAGAGTCATTCATTTTAGGTTAACTTTGTTTGGTTAGGTTAGATTATGTTAAGATATATAAAGGTTGTGTCAGGTACGATAAGATAGGTTAGCTTATGTTACATTAGGTTATGTTACATTAGGTTAGGTTACATTAGGTTAGGTTAGCTTAGGTTAGGTTAGCTTAGGTATGATAAGATAGGTTATGTTACATTAGGTTAGGTTAGCTTAGGTATGATGAAATAGGTTATGTTATGTTAGACTAGGTTAGGTTAGATTAGGTTATGTTACATTAAGTTAGGTTAGCTTAGGTATGATAAGATAGGGAAAATGAACCACAATGCTTACCTTAATTAACTTTGCCGTCTACTTGGCCTCGTCACCTTATATACATGACTCACGTAAATTATGTTTCGGCGGTGAACTTAATATATTATCGTTTATACAATACGTCTTCGTCATGGTAATTAAGAAAGTAGTGAAGTGAAAAGTAACTGAAGTGATATGATTTTTAAACGATAAATAGGGTGAAGATTAGCAACCACAGATCCTAACCTAACCTAACCTACCCTATTCTAACCTAACCTATTCTAACCTAACCTAATCTATTCTAACCTAACCTAACCTAACCTATTCTAACCCCCAGATAGAGTTAGTGTTTAATCATCAGGTCAAATAAATTAGGGTGTTTAATCCTCAGGTGACCCTCAGTGTGTGTATAGATAATTTCTTTGTCTTCTTTCGTTTCTATATCTCTTTATCTTATATTTTGTCATTAATGTAGGTACCTTTTTAGGTGCTAAGTCAAGATACCTCAGTGCCTCAATTAAGGTAATGCAATAATAGATTAGGTGTGTAGCCGAGCGTGACTCAACCAGCTTATTCTGTTAAGACCCTTGAGTGTGATTTACGACTTGGCGCTGGGGGCCAAAATTTACAGCTGCGAACATCAATCTGCCACCTAACCTAACCTAACCTAACCTGATCTGACCTGACCTGACCTAACTTAACCAGACCTGACCTGAACTGACCCAACGTAACATAACGTACTGTAACGTAACCAAACGTAACATAGCGTATTGTAGCATAACTTAACGTTAACTTAACTGAACCTAACCTAACGTAATCTAACCTAACGCTAATCTAAACTATTATTGCCTAACCTAAACTAACTAATCTAATCTAACCTAACTAACTTAACCTACCCTAACTAACTTAACCTAACCTAGTAGGCAGCCATACATAACTAACCTAAGCTAACCTAACCTAATTAAACTAATCTAACGTGAAGCTTAACTAAGTTAAAGTAACCTTGCTTAACCTAACCTAAACTAACCCCCCAACAGGTAGGGTTAAGGTGGTTAATCTTCCAAATAGGGGGTGTCTAATCTTCATGTGTTCGTCTAAATTAAACCTCACACGTTGCAAATTCCTGACATAATTATTGTCAGGTTATATCACAGCGAGAGGTGAAGGTTGCCAGGCACTGAGCTCAGGCCTTGAGGATAAATCTGTTATTAATTGACTAAGTGGGAGGTTATAGAGTGGCTCTGGAGACTATATGTAGAGTGGCTCTAGAGACTATAATAGAGTGGCCCTGAAGACAATATATAGAGTGACTGGAGACTACAGTATATATAGAGTGGCTCTGGAGACTATGTATAGAGTGGCCCTGAAGACAATATATAGAGTGACTCTGGAGACTATGTATGCAGTGACTCTGAAGACTATATATAAAGCGACTCTGGAGACTATGTATATAGTGACATTGGAGACTATATATAGAGTGACTGGTGACTATATATAGAGTGACTGGAGACTAGCATGGAGAAGAACGTGCCTCTGTGTGCTCGTGTTAGTGACCATAGAAAATAGCCACCGTGGGCCGTTGTGTGGTGGGGGAAGAGAGACCGTGTGTGGGGAGAGAAGACACCCCCCCCCACCCCCCCGCCGGCAACTCTGTTAAGTCAGCTGGAGCAGTTACGGAGAGAGATGGACGTTTTAAAGGGGGAGACCGAAGCCCTCAAGACTGAACTCCTTCAGAAGGGTGTCCTGCCTAGCAGGACACCTACGAAGGAGGGTCAGGAGGAGCAGGAGTGGAGAGTGGTTGTCTCCAAGGGGACAAAGGTCAGACTCCGGAAAACTGACCAGGGTGTGGAGTGCAGTAACCCCTACTAAGTGTTGGAGGAAGCTGGCGAGGAAGAGAAGAGGCAGGACAGTGTGATCAAACCCTGCCCAGTGGTAAGGTCGTGGTAGTTGGGATAGGAAACGTAGGACTAGGGTGTGTTCTCCTGGGGCTGGGATAAGGCATGTAGCTGAGAGGATGGAAAGGGTTTTGTCAGGGGAGGGTACCAAGCCAGTTGTGTGTCTTGTGTAGGAGGAAACGAGATAGGAAAGGTTAGGAGTGAGGAACATTCAAGAGGTATAGGGAGGCGCTGGGGAAGGTTAGAGATAGGGGAAGGATCCCGATAGTATGTGGTGTCTTGCCTAGAAGAGGAGTTGGTGGTGAATGGCTGTCCAGGGCAATTGCTATAAAATGCCGACTGGAAAAACAATGTGCAAGCAATGGTTGGGCGTTCATTAATAACTGGCGACGATTCTATAGCAACGACTACCTGTACAGTCGTGACGGAGTACACTTGTCTCGCACGGGGGTAAAGACGTTGTCTGCATCCTTGGAGCATGAAATTGTCACTCCAAATGGGGGGTTTCGCCAGTAGAGAGAGGTCAGGGTAAGTGGGAGTAAAAAAACAAGCAGGTCCTGGGGAGTAAAATTGGTTACTCAGGACAAGGGGTAAAACAGGACCAGGGAAGGGTAGGTTTAAATGTATACTATACAAACAGTAGGAGCGTTAGAAATAAAATAGACTGCTGAAAGCGGTTGTATGTACCGAGAATGTAGACGTCATAGCAATCACCGAAACTTGGATGAATCTGGCGAGCAAGAACTTTTTATCAGAGTATCATATAGAAGGGTACAACCTTTTTCACAAGGACAGGGAAGGTAGTAAGGAGGGAGGGGTCGCACGCTTCGTCAGCGATATATTAATATGTTGTGTTAATAATACAATAAAGGGTGAAATAGGAACCGAGTCTGCATGGGTAGAAATTGAGGAAGGAAGAGAATAACTAATTTTGGGAGTGATTTATAGGCCCCCAAGTCACGGGAAAGAAGCTGCTCAACCCATATGGCAGGAAATGTGTAGGGCAGCAAAATACAACAACCTGTGCATTATTGGGGATTTCATCTTCAGAAATATTGACTGGGACAACAATATAGGTGACTATGAATCTGAAGACTTCCTAGACGCAGCACAGAATAATTTTTTAAAACAACTAATTACAGAACCTACTAGTGGTGACAATATATTAGACCTAGTATTAACAAGAAAATATTATCAGTGATATCACATTAAGGGAAGAACTAGGGAACAGTGATCACAGATAAGACAGGTTTACCCTAAATTTGGAAACGAAAAATAATGGCAATATGGTTAGAGTCCCAGACTTTTGATGGGTGAATTATGAGGGGTTAAGAAGGTACCTAGATGAGGTCACCTGGGAACGGCCAGGTGACCTCCGGTAGGAACGGGTGAGGTCACCGGCGACACAACAATTGATCATGACTATAATATGTTCACTAGTATACTACGTAAAGCACAGGAACAAAATATACCATACAGAAAAATTAGGTCAAATAAGAATGAGCCAAGGTGAATGACAAGAAAACTTAAACATGACATAGGAATAAAGAAATGGATATATAAGAAATTAAAGGGAGGGGAGGAGCATCTCAGAAATAGGTATCAGGAACTATCTAGGAATGTTAAGAAAAATGTAAGGAAGGCAAAGAGGGACTACGGAATCAGAATAGCAATGGAATCCAAAGCGAATCCCAAGGGATTTTTCCAGGTATATCGGACAAAGATCAAGGACGAAGTGGGGCCTTTAAAGTCAGAGAGAGGGGAAGTGATCGATGATAGTCAGTTTTCACAGAAGAAATTCACAAGCAAACGCATGAGGTGGAACTGATATTTAGGGGAAATGAAGAAGAGAAACTTAAGGATATCACTATCCGAAATGAGGATGTTCTTAAGAAGATAAATAAATTAAAGAAGC